CACAGATGGAGATTGGCAGGGCCAGGAGCCTGGAACTGGGAATCTGTGAGGTGGAAGGAAGGGAGACAGACTTGACAAGCTTGGATGCAGGGGAAGAACTGGGACTGGGCAAAGAGACTGGGATGAGAAGTGGAAGGAGGTGAGGGCAGTGAGGTTGGATGAGAAGACTGGGAGGAGATGGGCATGGAGAATATGGGTGAAAGGGAGGCACAGATCAGCAAATGGTGGAGGGAACTGGGACTAGAGGGACTGACCAGGCCAGAAGAGTGGGTGAGGGAGAGCCTGGGATAAGGAGTCTGGAAGGGTTCAGGCTAGGATTTACTGGGTAGGGACACTGGGACTGGGATCAGAAGCCTGAGGAGTGGAGACTGGTTGACTAGGTGGAGAAAATGGGACTGAGACAAGGAGCCAGTGGTGAGGTAGAGACAGGATTGAGACAGGGGAAAGCGTAGAGGGGATCACGCTTTTGGGGAATGGGAAGAAGTCTGTTCCCACCAGAGCAAACTGCCATCTAGAGCCTGAAATGGAACCCAAGATTCCTGAATCTCACCATTCCTCTGCTGCCAGGAAGTACCATCTGTGAAATCCACTGACAAAGTGTCTCATTCCTCTCTAGTGCTGATCCACAAGAGGACAGCAACTTCCAGGGCTTTTTATTTTTGGTTTTAACCAATAAAATAGCCTTGATTTAAAAAAAGAAAAGAAATTAGCATCTATCCAGTTAATATTGGAAAAACACTGGAAATAGTTACTTGTATGGAAGGGCTTGTCTACACAGAGCTGTAATGCCAACTATGAGCATGTGATTTCTAAAGCCCACTGACATGTTACATATTTATTGGTCCATGTAGACCCTGCCGGTGCACACTAAAGGTTCCCTAGTGCGTTTTAATGTAGTGCTGTGTGAAACAGTAATACATCAAAATTCTATAGGGAACATTACAAAGAGATTACTCATGAGTATATAAACTACTGTAATGAATAATATATATAATATACATTACTCATTACAGCATATACAAAGAGAGAACCCTGAAAAACCCAGCCCCAGATTTTTGGATACCTACATGAAGCTCAAAAATTGCTAAAAATAAACCCTGAAAAATGAAATTAATAAATACTGAAAAACAGAAGCCTTACAACTTGCTGCTCTGATCAGTTACTCTTTTAGTTCAAGTGGCTGAGAGTGGTACTGTGGATGACCCATGTGGCTCTTAACATGATACTACATAATAGAATTTCTGTTTCCTTTTTTAAAAAACAAAGAAATTACATTAAAACCACTCTTAAAACATTAAAAGAACATTATTAAGGGTTGCAAAGTCAAGCACTCAAAAGTTAGGAAATGCCATAATTAAGGTGTAACCTTAATTATACCCCTTTTTGTCTATGCATTTGTGACACAGTCTTTTATTACATGATCACATATTGTTTTCCCACAGGGCCCATTTCATTCAGTGTACAAATTGGATGATGCTCACTTAATGAGCATCTATTCAATATTTTGTTTTCTTTTTGTTCAATGTGTGAACCCCTTATTTAATGGGATGATCACTCTCCTGAGGATAACACAGAGAGATAAAGAACAGATGTTGCTTGAATGCCAGCAAACACCGGGACCATACACTGCCATGCTTTGTTATGCAATGATTCCAGACTATGTGCTACTGGCCTGGTGTGGTAAAGTGTCCTACCATGGAGGACAGAATAAGGCTTCCCTCCCCAGAAACCTTTTGCAAAGGCTTTGGGAGTACCTCCAGGAGAGCTTCATGGAGATGTTCCTGGAGGATTTCTGCTCCATCCCCAGACACGTTAACAGACTTTTCTAGTAGCTGTACTGGCCGCGAATGCATCCCAAGCCTTCAGGGCAAATTAATAATTAAACACGCTTGCTTTTAAACCATGTATTATATTTACAAAGGTACACTCACCATAGGTGCCTTCTCCAGCTTCATGGTCCGGCAGCCTGCCTTGGGAGGGTTGGGAGAGTATTGGCTCCAGGGTGATAAACAGTTCCTGGCTGTCGGGGAGAACGGTTCGTCCGCTTGCCTGCTGTGCGCTCTACTCCTCCTCATCTTCCTTGTCCCTAAAATCCGCATCCCTGTTGCATGAGACTCCCCCCTTGCAGGTATCCATGGACGGGGTGGGGTAGTGGTAGGGCCCCCCCCCCCCTAGAATTGCATGCAGCTCATCATAGAAGCGGCATGTGTGGGGCTCTGAGTTGGAGCGGCCGTTTGCCTCTTTGGTTTTTTGGTAGGCTTGCCTGAGCGCCTTAATTTGTATGCAGCACTGCTGATGGTCTCTGTTGTAGCCTCTGTCCATCATGCCCTTGGAGATTTTTGCAAATATTTTGGCATTTCGTTTTTTGGAATGGAGTTCTGATAGGACGGATTCGTCTCCCCATACAGCAATCAGATCTAGTACCTCCCGTTCATTTCCATGCTGGAGCTCTTTTGCGATTCTGGGACTGCATGGTCCCCTGTGCTGATGAGCTTGCCATGCTGGCCAAACAGGAAATGAAATTCAAAAGTTCCTGGGGCTTTTCCTGTGTACCTGGCTAGTGCATCTGAGTTGAAAGTGCTGTCCAGAGCGGTCACAATGGAGCACTCTGGGATAGCTCCCGGAGGCCAATACCGTTGAATTGCGTCCACACTACCCCAAATTTGACCCGGTGATGTCTATTTCAGCGCTAATCCCCTCTTCAGGGAGGAGTACAGAAATTGATTTTAAGAGCCCTTTATGTAAAAAAAAAATGGCTTCGTTGTGTGGACGGGTGCAGGGTTAAATAGCTCTAACGCTGCTAAATTCGACCTAAACTCGTAGTGTAGACCATGGCTAAGAGTTCACTGGTTTCTTTGCTTATTTCCCTTAACACTTCATGTATATCTGTTCTCCAGACTTAGATGCACAAACTTTTCTATAACCAATTTAGTTACGTGTAGAGTATACTGCCTGTATTAGAACAAGAACATAATTAGTTCAGGAGGACTGTTCCAAAGGCAAAACTATTTTAAGTATGCATTTAGAGCTTGATGATCACTGATTTCAATGAGAATTGTGATGCTCAGCCTCTATCAAAAGCAAGCCCTCAGAGAGATGCTTTGGGGGACTGCATAGCTCCTTAGCTCCACTTATTCCACCATTTGTTCTTCTCCTGTCTCTGGAAAGTTTTTCTTGGACACATCTCCACCTTCTTATGAGAGGAGTCGAGCCAGGTGGCCTCTTTAGAAGGTATACAGTTTTGGTTTTGTTTTAAGTGTCTTTTTTGATCATCGCTTCTACTCAGAGGAGTTCTTTGAAACAGGAAGAAAAGTCTTAAAACTCGGAAAGCAACTTCAGTAGAACCTCAGAGTTAACAACACCTGAGTTACGAACTGACCAACCACACACCTCATTTGGAACTGGAAGTATTCAGTCAGGCAGCAGCAGTGACCCTCCCCCCCCCCCCCCCCAAAAAAAAGCAAATACAGTACAGTACTGTTAAACATAAACTACTTTAAAAAAAAAACAAAAAAAGGGAAAGTTTAAAAAAAATTGACAAGGAAGGAAACTTTCTGTGCTTGTTCCATTTAAATTCAGATGGTTAAAAGCAGCATTTTTCTTCTGCATAGTACAGTTTCAAAGCTGTATTAAGTCAATGTTCAGTTGTAAACTTTTGAATGTATAACCATAACGTTTTGTTCGGAGTTTCAAATATTTCAGATTTCAGAGTAACAGCCGTGTTAGTCTGTATTCGCAAAAAGAAAAGGAGTACTTGTGGCACCTTGGAGACAAACCAATTTATTTGAGCATAAGCTTTCGTGAGCTACAGCTCACTTCATCGGATGCATACTGTGGAAAATACAGAAGATGTTTTTATACACACAAACCATGAAAAAATGGGTGTTTATCACTACAAAGGATTTTCTCTCCCCCTACCCCACTCTCCTGCTGGTAATAGCTTATCTAAAGTGATCACTCTCCTTACAAAGAGTTACAAACAGCCTCCATTCCCTAGGTGCTCATAACTCTGAGATTCTGCTGTATTCAAGAATTCGTCCAGATGCCAATGAAGAGTCAACCACATTTTAGCAGTGATGGAACTGTATTTATTACTGCTTGTTTATCATTTTTCCTGTGCAATTACATTGTTTTTTTATGAAAACCTTCTGTTTCTCTCTCTGTCGTACTGCTCTTCTCCTTATTTTGCCTCACTGTTTTCTCTTATCCATCTGGGTTTTATTATTTTACTGCACTGAATTATGATTTATTTGTGTCTTTTAATACTTCCAGTTTTCTGATGCTGATTTTCCATTTATTATTACAAAGGCCACAAAAGTATCTTCAAAAGATGTAATTAATCCAATCTCCCTACATCCCTTTGCCTCCAAGATCCTTGAACCCAGTCTGCTTCTGCTGTTTTGACTGCTCCTCTAGTACACTCCTAGGTGCTCTGTTTTCTCCACCCTCCATTCCACTTTTCCTACTTTAATAAATCGCCAGTGACCTCATGGCCAAGTTGTAGGGCCGGTTTTCGATTCTGATTTCCTGTATCTGCCTGTCTACTTTCACAACTGTCGGTCACAACCTTCTTTCTGTGTTCTACCTCTTCCTTGGGTTTTCATGAGTCTTTACTCCTCTGATTCTCTTCCCACCCATTTAATCACTGCTTTAGTGTCATAGTCTATGACGGCTCCTTCACCCCTCTTTTAGCCATTGTTGGTGTCTTCGGGGTTCTGTCTATGGTTACTTCTGCATTTTACTACTGGGCAACATAATTTATGTAAGTGTGTGGTCTTATTTGTCTTATCGCAGGTAATACAGTTAGTTGATTGTCTTGACAGTTTATTCAATATTTTCTTGTTTGTGTCTATAAAGGTTCTGTGCTGTATCTTATTGGTTAATATTTAATTTAGTTGCTTCTATAAAAATGTTGGTATGTGTTAATTACTTATGAAGTAATTAATATTTTTTTCTTTTATTCTGAACTCTTAACGTTTTTAATGTTTTTAACTCTTTAGGCATAACATGGGGTTTCCCATTGTAGAATGTTCTTCTGATGGACACTTTACTCTATCCAAACCACCTGACACAGGGGGCCTAATCTCTTTTGGCACGGTGGCTGAACAGTTGGTGTATGAAATTGGCAACCCTCAGCATTATCTCTTGCCAGATGTCACATGTGACTTTTCTCAAGTTTCCATTACTGAAATTCCAGGTTAGTGGCTGTTGCAGGCAGAGGACCCTTATATTGAGGAAATCTATTCAGTAAGCTATGTTGGCAGACTAAAGTAGTTACTGTAGTTTCCATGTTTTCCATGTAACTTTACTAAAGTCTGTTCTTTTGAAGCATGATATTAAGATGGGCTGTCTCACAAGGATATCCAGATTGCTTTGTGCCATTCTTTGGAAATTTAGATTAGCTGTGACTCATTCAGAAGATTTTTGAGTAATCTAATTTCTTTTCGTTATTGAAATACATATATAATAATTACCAAGTCTAATAAATCATGTATTTCTGAAGCACTTAAAATATTTTTGCTGTGACTTTCAGGAAGTACTCCCTATCTCTATTAGACTTCAGTACTTTTTAATCCAGCTCACCCTCCTTTTTTTCTAACTAGTTACTGATGCAGCCCCCCCCCCCCTCACTCCCACGCACACATTCTCTCTCTCTCTCTCGGCAATGGGCAGCCACTCTGCTTACGACAGCCCATGATAAACCTTTGTTTTTAGCCACTTGACTGTGTCACCTTAAAAAGGGTAAGATTTCGTAGCTAGAAACAGCTATTACAGAATCCCACCATACTACCCTCCAAAATACTTTAATTTCAGTCCTAAATTTGAAAACTAGACTTCAACATCAGTAGTGTGGACAAGCCACCTTGCTAAACTGCTCATTTAGAGTAACTTGACATCTCTTAGTTCTTAGTCCCATGTTTTATAGACAAACCAGTGTGAAAAGGAATTTGCTTTTTGTGGATCTTATCCAAATGGAAATCTAGTTCCCTTATAAAACCCAAAACAATTAAAACTCAAACTTAAAACTCATTAGGATAAACTCCTGAGCTTTCAAATTAGCCTTATTTTTAAGCAAAACATTTCTATCTTAAAATTGTACAGTGAACCTTCTGCTCATGCAACATAATCAAATGACAAATAGTCTGATAAGGCCAGCTTGTTGCTTTTAGCCACTAGCCTTTTTAAAAAATAGAACCTTAACCTTCCAATGAACTTTTAGCTTGTAAATGACCCGATATGACACGTTTGAACTTAAAATGAACTTTCACATGAACTTTCCGTTAGTCTTCCTCTTAGAAATATAACAGATGGAAGATAGACAGATTTCTTAAATACTTTTAGTTTTAAGTGCTTTGACATGTACACCAGAAAGAACAGGGCAGGCTATCTATTTTTGATGTTCACATTGCTGATTTTGTTGCACTGCAGGATTAGTTACAATACGCGTTTGAACAAAGAGGTTTTCTTTCTGTTTTCCTTTTGTTGATGGATGTCATGCATTTCTTTTTCACCTCGTGTAAAAATCCTGCAAATCTTCCATTTGATTGTACAGACATTATTCTATAATAGCAGCGGGGCAATTGAAATTAACACTAAATGAACCTTGCTGTTGTAGTTTTGACAGTGACATTTAAGATTATTGTGAATTTTCATTCTTCAGAAAATGTCTGAAGAAGTTCTCTTTATTTTTGGTCTCCATGAAGTTCAGAGTATTTGTATGATGGCTTTCATATTTTGCTAAACACTCTCAGGCATAGATTTGTTAGTGATAAACTGCATCTTATTTAGATGTAGGTGGGTTTATACATACTATTTTTGAGTAAGACCCTGATCCTTTATTACTGAAGTCAATGGGAACATTGCTGTTGACTTCAGTGGGTACAGGATCAAGCCCTAAAACTAGTCAGGCAGTGCTTTGACTGACTCCTCGCTCGTGTTACGATGTGCACTGTCAAATATGTTATTTGCCCTGAAATGTTCTCTAGATTATCTTGTTACTTTTATCAACAAAAAGATTAAGGCTATATAGGGCCTACATTTATACAACTTTTGCCAGCCAGGACACATTTTTTTTACCAAGTTTCTCTGGACAGACTCTTGTCTTTCTCCAAATGTGAATTCCTTAATTTTCCCATGTGAGGCAGCCCAACCCACTCCAGCCAACAGCAGTCAGTGGTGTGATACATTGCCACCAGCTGCTCTCTTTCCAACTCCCTTTCTGTGAAGGCCTCCTCAGTCAGGGGAGGGGATCGGGTCACAATCCCAAAGATCCAAGTATTTCACCGTAATATGCTGTTGAGTGTCAAAAGTTTATGAATTTTAAAAAAATGCTTAAATCCTTGAATTTGCTGAGAATTATAGATTTGTGTGTCATCACTGGCAATTGAGCAGAAGACAACAGTTGAGTCCTAAGGCCATGTCATGTGTTACGTATTCAAATACTCTGTGAATAAATATTTCAACAGTTAAGTTAAAAGGCAAACTGAAGATAAATCCATGGATTTGATACTTGAGTTGCTAATGCAGATGTAGCTGTTCAATAGAAGACTGTCTCTTTTGCATGGATCTTGATGATAGGAGTATCCATAACATTTTTGTTTTGTATAGTGTCACATAAGATGAATTGATAGTACTTTCTCAGAAATTATATTGAAGTCATTAAAATAGATGTTTTTAACCATTGTAGGTATTGAAGGTGGGGCAGTGAAAATTCATGGAGCAAAAGGATCACCACCTTCGACGTTTTATAAGGTTCTTTTCTTATTGCTTTGATAATTATATAGAATGAAATGCTCTTGATTTATGAAATGTTGGTATTTTGGAGAAAAAGGCAAAACTACTACCAGGTGAAACCCTTATTTTTCCACACTTAGTATATTAACACACACAAGTGAAATTGCTATATACAAAATTGAGGTTATGTTATGTTATGTAATAAGTCTTTTGGGAAAGTCCACAGTACACCATAGTAATTAAGATTGAGATGAGGCTTTAATTATAAAATTCTGCTTTCAGTCACAAAATTATAGTTTAATTCAGGATGGATTTGATTTAAATCACTAGTCAGGAAGACTTGATTTAATCATGGATTTCTACATAAAAGAGCATTCTTGTTGGTTGTTACAACCTTAATACATATTTTTCACAACTCAGAGATAGATGCAGGTTTCATTTTTAGAAGGTACACACTATACATTTTTAAAGTGACTTATTTTGAAAACTTTTCAAATTAGTTCTACAGCTATATCAGAAAATAAATGATTGTTTGGTTATTTAATTTACCAAAGGTAATTGAAGCAGATATTTATGAAGTCACTGATAGGTGAACTATCATTAATATTTGGAGGATTTTCTTGCCATGCTGTATTAGGAGGAGAACATCACCAGACCCACATTTAAATTGTTTTATTTAACTAAAACAACAGTGTTAATATTTTAACAAAACAAGCATATGAATTTTTGAATTTAGTTAAACATTCAAGTTTTTCAGAATCAGGTTTGTTTTTGTTTAAATTGTTAACTAAATTAGTTAAATAAAGTATTTAAAAAAAAAAACAAAAACGACTGTCAGCCAGGTCAACATGATAAATTTAATATATTGGCTTCTGCAGCTAACTCAGTTGTCTTCACCTTCATTTTCCTGTTTGTTCATAATCTGGAAAAGAAAAACAAGCTTTCCTGCTTTTTCAGGTCCCAAACAATTTCTCAATTTGGAATGAATTAGTCTAAAGGAAGAAAATATTCTTTCTACACCAGCAGAAGAAGCCACTGCTGTTAAAAGTGAGATTATCACTTCAACGGTCTCTGAATCCAAGTCCTTAAGTGACTTCCACCAGTTCACTGGTGTGATTTTCTTTAAAACATCATCAGCAAACATACATTTCTTGAATGGTTCACCCTTAGCTCTAAAGTTTATTATAGTTGGCATTACAGAGGGATGATTGCTGGATGTCCATGTCATAGCCAACTCCTCTTCTTCAGCAGTTAAGGTTTGACCCTAGTACCGAATATTGAGAATATTTGCGAGAAAATGAGCTAGAGATAGTGCTTGTCCCATTTGTTTTTTTAATGCTTGTAATTTAACTCTGTCGTTGCATATTTCTCTTTTTAAGATCTCACTCAGTTCCTTCCAAATTTCAACAGCATCAGCAATAAAACAGCTATTTCCCTGCATTTTGTTCAAGGCTTCAGAAATAGGCTTCAGGGTACTAGGCATGTATTCAATATTTCTCTTGAGCCCAGTGTTGAGGATTTTGGCTGTGACAGTGCCATCTATTTTGTTCACTATTTTGTTCACAAACAGTCATCACATTAAGCCAGTTCTTGATATAATGCTCAAAACAGTCCACTACTGAGTTCCATCGCACGTCTTGTGGGAGAGTAAGCTTGGTTCCTCCCACTTTTTTCAGAGCAGCTGCTGTAGATTGGTTGTTACAGAAGTATTTTGCCATTTCAACAACATTAGCCTTTATTTCTGGAACACTGAAGTCTTTGGCTAGGAGGTGCATCAATTGAGCACTGCAACCGTACGTTATTAGCTTGGGACTCTCTTCTAAATAATTTCTTCTCATCTTGGATACATTTGCAGAATTGTCTATGACCAACTATATTTTTTGCTCAAACATGACAATTCAAGAATAGTCCAGAAGGAAGACAAGCAGCTCTTAAGAAAGAAGTATGAAATAAAAATGTTTACCAACCTGAAGATCCTGCATGTTCAGATATGTTCCTTTCATCATCTTCGACGCAGCTTCCTCCTGAGAAGGAACTCTTCTCATGATGTTGTTTCATTCGGGCAACCAGGCCTTGCATTTCTTTGGTGCACTGTTTGCATTTTGCACGTATGCCTGTCTTACCCACAGGTAGAGGAACTTCATTAAAATATTCCCAAACTGGATCTCTTTTACAGCCTGCGGCTATTATAGGTTTTCCGTTCTAATGAGAGAATGGTATGGTAGATCTCAAATCAATAAAGGCTACACACAGAAAGACCTCAAGACTTCTGGAATATGCTGCTCAAACAGTTCCACTTTTGTTTCTACTCCCTGTCCCTCCCTTCTCACATTTATCTCCAGACTTCTTCTCCTTGTCCCGATCTATTCTGCCCCAACAATCTTCTATTCATTGAACTTTTTGAAAGTTTGCACTTTTAGAGAGAGGTAAGGGATTGACTCTGTATACACAAATGTGCAGAGGGACAATAGGGTTGAGGTCTGTTATTTCTCACCTCTATATATTATTTATTTTAAAACATTTTTGCTGTTAACAAGCATGTTATCTCTGGAGACACAAATCCACAGTTTGAGAACTGCAAAACTAAGCATCTCTGATGGGTATCTTCTAGACTGAGCACGAATCCCATTGGGTAGATAAAAAGATTAACCTACATAATCTATACAGAAGCCCCTGGAACCCCATAAGATTGGGTCCCTAATCCATGAACTATTGGAACTCCTTTACACAACTTTTCTTAAATGTTACATGAATATATTGTCTCATACTATAGAATTAGAATTTATAATCCCTATTCCATGATGAGATACATTATAGCTCAAAGATATCTTAATTAAAACTATCTTTAGATAGGTTTTTTCCTCAAAAAGCAATTTATCAAAAAAATCCAATTTAAATTTAAAAAATCTGATTTTTTTTAATTTTTTTAAAAAAATCATTGGTTTTTATCCACCCTGTTTTAATTATAGTTGTCTTTATTTGTAAATTGGCACCAGTGGCAGATTTAGAGTTAGTGGGGCCCTGTGCTCAGCTTTATTTTTATTCTTTTATCTCCACCACCCCTTTCTTCATTCTTTTTTTCTCTATTCTCCTCTTTGGACTCAGGGCTGGGGGTGCAGGGTCTGGGAGGAAGTTAGAGTGTGGGAAGGGGCTCAGGATTGGGGTGTGGGGTCTGGGAGAGAATTAGGGTAAGAGGGGGCTCAGGGCTGGGGGTGCGGGGTCTGGGTGTTAGGGTGCAGGATCTGTGTGAGAGTTAGGGTGCGGGAGGGGGCTCAGGGCTGCGGGTGCGGGGTCTGGGAGGTAGTTATGTGCGAGAGGGGGCTCAGGGCTGGGGTAGGCTGGGGGTTGAGGTGCAGAGCGCCTACCTGGGGCAGCCCCTCTTTAGCGCGGGGGGACGGGACGGGACGGACGGTGCAGGTGGCTCCGTGTGCCCGCCACAGCTCCCATTGGCCGTGATTCTCTGAGCCACTGACGCCCCCCCGCCAAGCAGGGCCGGAATGCAGGGGCTTTAGGGGCTGCAGCCCAGGGTAAAGCCCCACCCCCTTTCTGAATCCGGCCTGCGAGCCCGGGCCGGAGGAATCGGGAGGCAGGCGAGCGGCGGGAGAGAAGCAGCGGTTTTCCCTTCAAAGCGCTGCTTCACTCCGGCCGGTTGCGCGGCCGCTCTGTGCCTCTCCTGAGTCCTCCGGCCCGCCTTCGTGGCGCTCCCGCCAGCCGCACCTCCCGCCTGCTCCCCTGCCCCCCCCCGCAGTCCCACCCCGTCGAGCAGCCCCCTCGCGGGGGGCACGGTGGGGCTGAGCTGCCTGAGTGCCGGGCCCTGAGGCCCCTGTTGTTGGGGGGGGCGTGCCAGGGCACCCTGGGTTTAATGGTAAATCCGCCCCGGGTTAGCGCTCAAATCTTGTCTTGCTTCAATGTGAAACATAATAAGCACATGATTCTCAGAGACCAAACACCGCATAATCACTCATATCAAGATAATTCTTGAGTCAGATAAAGGTGCTGTGAAAGATTAATGAATTAATGTTTGTAAAGTCTTTTGTTATCTCTCTATTGGAAGATGCTATGTACGTGCAAAGCTTTTTTTAATTTATGTGTTGTTACAGTCTCTACCCCTGCAGGGACACCAGTTTAGGCAACTGCATCAAAGTACAACTAGGGCAAGCCTAATCCCATTTAACACAATAGCGAAACTTCAACTGACCTTCCTTGGGAACAAGATTGGATCCATAAATTAAAACTGCTCTTAATAGTGAGATAACAAAGCAGAGTTGATTTGACTGGATCCATTTAAAACTTTTAAATTCTTCTTTTAGAGAAGGTGTATAATTTGTAAATAGGGTGACACTATTGTTTGTGATTAAACTATAGCTCAGACATACCTTTTTTAAAAGTCCAGTGGTTACATTTAAAATATTTCTATCAGTTTGAAAGGTTTTTTTTATTTTTTGTATATAATAAAAATATCTAAAGGTAGTGTTTAAATGACCACTTTATAAAGTGTATTTAATATTTTAAAAAATAAGCAGTATTGTTTTCAAAGAAGATGGAGGTATGGCTTTGGACATAGGTGATCTCAGTGCAGAAGCCAAATTAATCTCTAAAATCATTGGATTGGAGTATATTACTAACTCTTTTTCAGATAAATGAATAGCTCCTATTTCATTTTTCTCAGGTGCTCAAACAATCCTTAAGTTTTCCACTCCTGCATTATTTTTCTAATAATCATCTTTATGTCTGTGTTATAAAGGAATATATTTTGTCCTTAACTGTCACAGTACTGACTACATAATCTATAACTGGATTTGCCATAACATTCACCTAATTAACGATGTCTTCATTTTTGGTAAACATAGTTTCCACCTTCTGTACAAAATTAACTCGTCTGCCCTTTATATTTTTTTCAGTCTTTTGGGTGTTAGATCAAGATTTCTAGTACATAATGTTAGAATAAAAAAACTCATTCTGTGTGGTCTGTGCCTGGGAGCAAACTTTTTCCTCAAGTTTGGGGGCGGGAAAAGTTTCAGTTATTTTTGAACTTTAAAGAATACCTTTAAAATAAATAATTAAGAGGATTTCTGATTGTTCACTCATAGAACTCTGATTGCTTTGTTTTCCAGAATCAGATTTCAGTAGCAAGTATTCTTCATTGTGGACTAATCGTTGCCTATTTTGATTTAAAAAAAGATCATTTTAAAAAGAATAAATATATTCTATAAATGACACTGGATAAACAAAGCATTACGTTTCACATAAGGATGGTGTCAGAATCATTTAATTGCTGATTCATTCAAATGCTCATTAAATAATTTAGATACAAAATATTTTATATAAAGAAAAATTGATTAAAATATGTTTAAATATTAAAATAAATAGTACTAAAATTAATTGTAAATAAGTCAATAGGCCATTTCAAAATATACTTGTTTAGAGATATTTTTAGAATATATACTGTAATTAAAATGATAAATATTTAAAATGGGATATTTAAATATTTAAAATAGGATATTTAAATATTTTAAAATATTTAAAATTGCTTACTTTTTGTTCTGAAAAATCAATATGACATTCATAAGACTTGTTTATATATTAGTTTTGTAGAAACTTTTGTTTACTCAGAATCTCAGATACCATTATAATTGATGGACAAATTTCTTGCTTACATACTCCTCCCCCCAAAAAACTAAACCAAAACAAAAACTTAGGCTTTATTACATGACCTATGAGGAAAGATCTAAATATGTATAGCTTTGGTAAGTGGTGAGTGGAGGGGCATGCTAATAGACTAGAAGTGCTTGAAGGGTGGAGGGAAATGCAGAAAGAAAAAATATCTAGTAAAAAAATATCTTTTACAGTAAACTATGAGAAATCCCTCAGTTCATTTTATAACCTTTAATTACTAGGTAAATGCCACTTACCTGGATGGTTTTAGAGCTACAGCTGTCTGCCCAGTGGTAGGGCCAAAGGCAATGGAAAAGGGAAGACAAACTGCGGAAAGCATTCTGAAAAGGTGAGTATTTATTATAGATCTGCTTTATTTTGCCTTTTAAATTTAAAATCAAAATATAATGGTAAACTGTACTAATAATATGGCAGCTGTATCAACTGGGAGATATCCTTGACTTAGGCCTCATGAAACCCCATTGATTTTAACGGGGTTGCAGAAATTGTAAGGCAAGACAGAATCCAGCTTGACATCTGCTGGCTGCACTATGATATCTCAGCTCTGAGACCAGAATATCAATCTTACCATTTAGTTAATTTAAACGAGAGAGCCTCGCTACCTGGTATCCTTTTACGTGGAAGGACATTTCAAGACATAAATGGTGTGAATTATAGAACCTTTTTCTTTCTCCATAAAATTATTATACAGCTATAAAATACTAGTGACATGATTTATCAGCAAATAGATTGTGTGATGGGGCAAGGCCAGATGGCTATAGAAAAGTAGTGGGAGATAGATATATTAGCTCCAGGCTAAACAAATCCCGGGTACCAGGATAAATTAAATGGTAGCTGCTCCAGGTCAATTAAGACACCTGGGGCCAATTAAGAACTTTCTAGAAGGCAGGGAGAATGCTAGGTTGATTGGGACACCTGAAGCTAATCAGGGATTGGCTGAAACTAGTTAAAAGCCTCCCAGTTAGTCAGGTGGGTGTGGATGTCAGGAGCTGTGGGAGGAAGTTGTGCTGTTGGAGAGACTGAGCAGTACACACCATATCAGGCACAAGGAAGGAGGCCCTGAAGTAAGGGTGGAGTGGAGCTTGAGAAAGTGGGGGCTGCTGTGGGGAAGTAGGCCAGGGAATTGTATGTGTCATGTTTCTAAAAGGTCAGCTACCATAGCTGGTACTATTAGGGTCCCTGGGCTGGGCTGGAGCCTGGTGTAGAGGGCGGGCCCGGGCTCCCCTCTTTGCACCCCCCACTACCTGATTAATCACTGAGACTGGGAGACAACAGAGACTGTGCAAGGGAGGACAGCTTCTCCTCACCTCCCTAGCTGGCTTATGATGAAAATGGCTCAGTAGACTATGATGCTTGTCTCTAGAGAGAGAGAAGGGTTACATGGAGGGTCACAGTGAGTCTCTGAGGCTAGCGAAATCTGCCAGGAAACATGGGACCCACAGAGACAAGGACAGAGCTTTGTCACAATTGTTTCTGAATAGTGCGAGAAGTTGGTGACCTAGTGAACTGAATAGCTTGCTAACTTTTGATCAGGGGCCACTTTCTGTCCTAAGGCACCCTGAGGACCTTATTAGTCATTTTGGAACCTGAGTACATTTTACTTCAAACTTTAAGAACTATAGGTGTCCATATCCTCCCCTACATTTAAATATTGTAACATAAAGGACTGCTTATAAAACACATCCACTTCCACCTGAACAAAAAGGGGATTAAATAGATGCCCAGAAGTTTAGTGCATCTGAGCTCTGATGGACCAAGGGTGGAGAAGAGTGCTACAATCAATGACCCCTATCAGAGAATACTCTGCCAACAGTGCCCTTTTGTGTATATTGAAGGAACTCCAACTCAAGTGCTTCTGCTGATTTTGGTTCTGCAGAACTATAATGGGAGGGATGCAGTCTCCCAGGTAAATAGGAGCTTGGCTATACAGGAAAAAAGCCCACAGTAACTAGTGTGCACTCGTTACTCCCCACTAACTCCCACTATGGATATTTTTACCATGCACTAAGAGTGCCATTGTGAACATTAGCTTAATGCACGATGCACAAAATGTGCTAAGTTAAACCACCAAAGGGAATTCTTAGTGCTCAGTAAGGGTGTCCACAGGGGGTTTTAATGTGGAGTAGCTAGTACAGTTCAAATTCACATGCTAGCTTATTGCTCACTGACTTCCCTGTGTGTACAAGCCAGAGGTCTCAAACTTTTAGGGATTTATAGAATTGAAGATGTTGGTTTTAATCTATCCAGAAATGTATTGGAATCCAGTGCAGATCCCAGAGTACTGGGCTTACGTGCTCTTAATGTGCAACTCTGCTTAGGGCAGGTCTACTTTACCACTTACGTTGATGTAACTTAGGTTGCTCAAGGGTGTGAAAAAGATACCTCCTTGAGTGACGCAAGTTACAGTGACCTAAGCACTGTCCATACAGGCGCTATGTCAGCAGGAGATGCTCTCCCACTGGCATAACTTCTACCTATTGGGGAGTTGGAGTAATTATGCCAATGGGAGAGCGTTCTCCCATTGGCACAGAGCATCTTCAGCAGACAGGCTACACTGATGTAGCACTCCTAGTGTAGACTGCCCTTAGAATTCTGCAGACTGCTTACACCACTAGCTTCAGCTTGTGACAAATGATATCTTTGACTTCTTCATTCTTGCCTTCCTTCCTCTCCATTGTTCAAAATGAAGAATTTGCAGAAGCCTTATGAGTGGTCTTGAGTGTCTCCCCTTGGGATTTTGTGTGTGTGTGTGTGTGCATTCTAGTGCATTGCAAAGGCACATAAAGTGCTCTTCAAAATTATCATTATGTTGCTAGCAGGTTATCCCAGGTAAGTACATGGTTGGGTAGTATCCAGAGAAAGGAATGAAATCCATTCAAAGTAAGGAAATTCCCTCCCTCTATCTACTTTAATCCATCCACCCGTATTTGAGTTAAAGTACCTGCCAAGTCAGGACTGAGCTAGCCTCTATAGGAAGCCCAGCTAAGAAACAAAGCCATAATGCTGCTTTGGATAGGCACTTTGTAGAGCAGCGATGCTATTAGTGTTGCAGTAGGACAACTGCAAATCCCACAACAAGGGTTGGGTCAAAGGACCCACAGGACATAGCTATGTACTGAAAGTTGCCCACAGAACATATTTCAAACTTAAGCACCTAAATTTTATATGCATCTGTTTACTTCATTTGGTGCAGGGTTGTTCAGTGCTTCGAAAAATCTTGGCCACTTGTATTTTGGTGTCATAAATATGAATTTAGGTGTCTGATTTTAGGCACCCAAATTTGCAAATTTTTACCATAATGAGTAACATATTTATGAATCCCCTTTAGATTAATATAAATATATTGGTCACTTTACTGCTGATCCCATGTGTAAAGACAATTCAATGAGCATATACAATAGGTGTTTTTAAAATCTTCCACTGGTGTGAAAGATTCTGTCGGTTTTAACGTAATTCCCTTTTTGAATGTATAAAATCTCTTAAACTGGTGGAACTATGTAAGGGTGGCAGATACATGGTGTTGCCTCATATACTTGGTATGTGTTAAGGAAGCACTGACACTGGTAAAGGGAAACAGAAGGGCATTTTACAGTGCTGGGTGGTGGTTGTGTTTTGTTTTGTTTTTTTTTAGTTATGTACTACCTTCCTATTTACTGCCTTCACAAAGTTGAACTTTCTATCTGTACTAATTTTGACCTCTTGTCATTTTTTAAATATTGATATTTTCTTGCCGTTTCAATGGACTGGAGTTGTTATGACAATTTTTAGTTGGGTTACTTCCCTGGTTTTGTATCTGTAAAATATGTCACCTCTACTAGTTTAATGACTTTGCAGAAACTAAGAATTATGGGTTCTCTTACAGCAATCACTGTGAAAGCCTGAAAGCTTGTTTCTAGTGTGTATTTCTCCATGTCACTAGATGACTCTATAGAGTGTTTTGCTACTTCTGAGAGAGAAGAAAACCTCTGGCAACAGTTTTTGGTTTTTGGATTGAGAGGTTATATAGTGTCTCTGGTTTGAGGCTGAGGAAAGAATTTGGAGGATTTTAGACACAGACACATTCAAACTGTAAGTGCCACTGGGGTTTGCCCATCTCTGTGTAGAAGAAAGAGAGGGTTTTGCCCCAGGTTCCAAGGATACCACCCAGACCTGTTCAGATTCCGGAGGATCCATTAGAGGCACATAGCCATATGTGCAAGTTGTTCTGGAGTCTCTCTCCTGAATCAATGCATCCACCAGCCATTTTGGCTTCTCCCCATCTCTAGTCAGAGCAGCCTACTTTGGGGGCTGTGCTGATTTGCTACAGGCTTCCTAGCAGAGTGAAACATTTCTACTACTATGGTTTGGGGTGGGGAATGTGTCTCAAAGCCTAGGCTCCAGCCTCAACATCTGCACTGCAGTTTTTAGCCCTGCAGCCCAAGCCCTGCAAGCCCAAGTTGGTTCACCCAAGCTTTGAGACTCAGTGCCACAGGTCTTTCATTGCAGTGTAGAACTATCCACAGTGAGCCAGTAGCTGAGCTCATATTAGGACTCAGGAGTTCCTGATTCTTTACTCTAGACCATGTTGAATGGAATCTGGAATGGAGTAACTTCTATTATTTTTTCTCACTTCCCGTTGTTTTGACATCTGGTAAAGTTCAAATTTAAATTTTATGGCAATTTACTTTTAATTAATAAAAGTAATGTAAATACCATCTGAAGTTAAATCCTAAATCTAGCAAATATAGGTTAACCTATATTATCTGTGGCTCTGCTGAAGATGACCTTCAATGGAAAAAAATGTTTATGCTTTTTTAATGCAGTATGAATGAAGTGGGAAAGATGCTTTTCCACTGTTTTCCCCCTTTCCTCCCTCCTGCTCATTGTTATCCATAGACACATTAGGAATGTCAGGTCTTGTCTTCCTGGTGTTTGGTCGAAGTCTCCACTGGGAAGGACTTGGAGAAATGTATTGAGAGCTGCTTAGCTCTTAACAGAAGAGCTGGGGGTGGTAAAAATTCAACAAAACTTTTCTTCCAACTGTTTTTAGGCATTTAATTCACATAGGGATTAACACAAAACAAGGAATTTTAAAGTCTGAATAAAAATCCCTCCTGAACTCAGTTAAGTAGATTTCACTTCCTTGGTACCTGTGATGTCATTCATGTATTTCTTAATTATTCATAGAGTCTTCTAGGAAAAGCAAATATAGGAGCTGAATTTCTAATGTAAAAGCAAGCAGAATGTATTCATTATAATAACATTTTGCTTTCTTCATCAGAATGAAGCAAGTAAAGTACAAGCCCATTTATTTTTTCCTTTGCAGGGCATCTTTAAGATAACTTAAATAAATAGAAATTTAGAATCAAGAGGTCAGGACATATTTTGAGTATAACCAATTTGATATAGTCACTATGATATAGCAGTAAATTTGCCCAGATAAGAAGTATTCAAATACAAATTTAACTAGCACTCAGAACTAAAACTGATGGACTGCACTGTTACTGCATATAATTTTTTTAAGCAGTTTGCTAATAACAAATAATCTGTTGCAGGACTCGCCTTATTTTCAGTCAGCTTGGATATGAAGATTACTGTGCAGTTAACATACAGATTTTAGGTTCTGAAGATACATATGGACCCCATGCTAAAAAGAAAGTAGATGATGTAAGTACTAAGCAGCCTTTTCTGACCCATTTTAATTCCCCCATGTTATCTTTATGTAACTTTTTAAAGAGATTACTTTCTGGGGGGAAATTCCTGAGCTGACAACATCTTGCAAAGACTTTTGCATGTGCCTAACTTTAGGTTCAAGTGTAGCCCCGTGAACATCAATGTGAGTACTCAAAAGTTAAGTAATGAGTAAATCTGCGTAGGGTTGAGACCTTGCTGTGCAACAAATGCATTGTTATGAAATCTAAAGAAACACTTTTTAACTTGTGTGTTGTGTAAATAAATATCTGCCCAAGAGCAAACCTCATAACAGTAGGAGTTCTTTTGGTGTGATCACATATTACACATATTTAAATTATATTAAAATACTTTAAAAGAATGTTAAGGTTGCACAGTTAAGCATTCAGAAGTTAGGAAATACCAGAATTAAGGTTTCCTTAATTAGGCCCCCTTGTGTATATGCATTATGATAGTCTTTAATTACATGATGTGCTGTGTTTTGTGACTTATTAAATTCATACGTACAGATTTGAATGATAGCCATAGTGGGTGCAACTACCATGCATCTGCTGCAACTAAATCCACACATACGAAGATCTGTAAAAGACAGCAAATAAATCTTGAGTTAAGTCATACACTTAAATATTTAGGTTGTGTGTCTTGTTCCAAAACAGTAGCATCTAATTCTTCTTTGTCAGTTGCAAAGTCTTACAAAATTCCAAGATACATGTTTGGCAAAGCTCAGTCTGTGAATCTGATGTGAAGAATGTGTCAGTATTTTAAAATTGCTGAATATATATGTTTATAGGAGACAAGAACAAGTGTTATGTAGAAAGTTAACAAACTGTTTATGAACAGTCAATTTCTACAATAGAGCTAGGTAACTTATCAGTGTAATTGTTTATTTTAATGTTTATACTTAACTTCATTCTACAGTGCAGCAAAACTCACTCTCTGCTAAATCAGAATGTAATGCTTATGTGGCAGACCTATGCCTTCCCTTTCCAGGACCCTATACTCTGATTCTCTATTTTAAACACACACAAACTGTATTAAATAATATTACTAAGATCAACCTCTCAGAACTTAGGAATTGTCAGAGTTAAAGTTGCCTGTGCATTATGGTACTGTCTTTAATTACATGATATAATACTTCCCCCCCCATCAGGACCCATGTTCTCATTTAGTACACAGAATGGACAGTAGTTTTGTTTTTCTCCTCCACATTCCATCTGTAGCCCCACTTCTTATTTACTGCACAATATTCAAACCCTGCTCTAAAGACAGTATTAATTTCTTCATGAGCTTTTCTATGGCACTCATTATAATATCTGAGTGCTTCATAAACATTAATTTATTTTTGCACCACCCCTATGAGATGAGTGGCTATTATAATCCCTGATTTACAGATAGGGAACTGACACACAGAGAATATAAGATCATCAAACCCCATGGTCTCAAGTCAAGCAGCCAAAAAAATGAGGAACACATGATTAGTTACTATCTGTGAAAAGGTTAGCTTAAGTGACTTGCTTAGCATCACATAGAAAGTAGAGACCGGGATTGCTTAACAATTAAAGATAATTTTTACAAATGAATTCATACCATCTCCTCTTCTTCATTAAGAACCTGATGCATAGTCCACTGAATTCATAGGAGTATTTCCATATAATTTAGTGGGGATTGGATTGAGCATTACAAGAAGGTTCCAGAGATGACAGCACTGCTAGGACATAGGGTAGTGTCTAGTGTGTTTGTCCTTTGAATGAAGAGCGCATTTGGGTGCTTTTGTAGCTTTTTTTTCTCACAGCATATGCTCCATGTGCCCTCCATTCATCCTAAGGGAATGGGCAACAAATATGATCTGGGACATTGTAGGTTTTGATGTGAGAAGACATTAAAAGTGTTGGGAAAGAAGAAGATTAAGAAAAGTTGAGATTATTTAATAATGGATAGCATAAAGAAAACTAGTAAAACTTTGCTATTTACTTTGCCCATTGATGATATGAACAAGTGTGGACTCTCTGAGATTATAAGGCAACAAATTTTAAAATTATATTGGAAATGCTTTTTAAATCAAATCACACTCCAGTTGTAAAACTCATTGCCACATAATATGATTGAGGTAGATGCTGCATCTTCAAAAAATGTAAACACTAGCTTGGATATAAAAAAAGCTAAACAAAAAAAAAAAGATACTGGTCAATCTTCCAGCATCAGTCATAAACTGTGTCATGCTGTCTGGAGTGCCTCACAACTGAGAATGCCTACCTCAGGGCAGACTCTCAGAAACCAGAGCAGACACCCCAAGCTGATGGTGTATTCTGTAATTAGTTTTCACCAAGCCAGCAACAAGTGTAACCTCCTGGATCATTATACCAGTCTTACCAGAATCCTGGCAATAGCACCAAGCAAATGCTTTCTCTGGGGAAAGTGCCGGTAAACTGTTTCTGTAGTTCTGAAAATATTATCAGTGTGTGTAAACCCTGCAGTGGGCATCTAGCCATAGGGAAAACTAACATACTTTAGCAATCACGTCACCTGAAATGAGCCACAGTGGTGCATATTTCAAGTACTGTATCTTGAGAGGTATTGGGCTATGTATCAGCTACATGATTTTAGGCACTTGGGAAGATCCCTAGTGGTATATTAATACAAACCCAAGAGTATCTTATTTGTTAGTGAGCACCAGCTACCTGTGATGTGGATCTGTGTCCTCCTTGGCTGGTTAGAGCTGACCGTTTTGTGGCTGTGAAGGAGCCATCTGGGTATCCACCAACAGCATTAGGACCATTGCAACCTTCCTCCCAGCCACTGGCTTGCTACCTGCCACTGGCTTGCTACCTGCAACTGAGCCAACTCCCCCTTTGAGTTACTAGTGCAGCCTCTAGCTGTAAGGGGGAAAAAGCTCACTGAGTGGTAGGCTGTTGGACTATGAGTGGGCAGAGGAAGCAGGAACATGGTCTCCCCACTTACCACAGCAGTTTTCTGTGAGGGGGAGAGAAGGTAATAGTAAATGAGCAGAAGAAGTGTATGACCCAGTATCTGCTGGGGAGGAGGAAGTTAAAGGAAGGGTAGACCCCAGTGAGCAGAGATGGTGCTTTGTTCTCTCTAGGGTCCTGCAGGGATGATTCTAATGGGAAACTGAAATAAAATGTGGCAGACACAACATAATGAAGTAGAAAGAATAAAGGGCATTGAACAAACAGAGAATGAGGATAATCTCTGACTGGTTTGGCTCCACTTTGTTGGATTCTCCCTTTTTGGTTGCTTTACTTCTTTTCTCTGCCCATTTTTTGCTAGAATATATCATGAGTCTAATATTCTTTATGCACAACATTCCAGAAGCAGAGTCTAAAGCAGGACTGGTTTGTAGGAACTAATAATATGTTTGATATTTAATGTTGATGTGTTTTCATAGAACGTCTCCTTTCCCTGTGAACATTTCTTTATAGCAAAAGGACAGAAGAAAATGGAAATGAGAAAAAAGCCTCCTCATCTTGAGAGGCCAAATCCTGCTCCTGTTTGAATCAATGAGAGTTTTGCCATTGTGTTAAATGGGACCAGGATTTCATGTGAACTTACCAAAGAAACTTTTAGAATTTTTCTCCATGTTCACTAAGGAGAGTAAATCTCTTAGCAAAACTAGGTTTGAGACACACAGTCTGCAGTGAAGAAATTAAAGTTTATATAAGTCTAACATGACCTTGGATAGACCTAGAGGGGCTGCAAGAAGAACTTAGCATGAACTGTAAATTGTATAGTATAGCTGACTTTCAGGAAGAGGAAATATTTCACAACACTTTATAGTTCCATGTGAGAAAAATCTGAGTTGTAGGGTTATAACTTTGTGCAATCCCATTTCATATAAAAAGTAGAAACATTTATTATTGTTCCTAGGGAACTGAGGATGGTATATTAGATTTGTATTCCAAATAACTGATATAGGACAGACTTAGTATTGGAAATTTGATCAAAAGGGTAGAATCAAAGCTGACCCAAGCATTTACCTTACTGAAGAATGTAAATTCCCACTTGAAAAAACAGAGGTATGGTTGGTTGCTTGTTGTAAAAAAAGAAACCTAAAGCTGACAGAGGCTGTCATTGAAATGAGAGTAAAAGCAGAAAACGATCAGAGGAGACTGGAGAAGGAATCTTACCCCAGCTGCAAAATAAGGAGAATATTTAGAAATGCTGTGTTTAGGCAGATACATTTAGGGATTACATCTGCACAAGACAACAATTTTTGCTTAAATATAAAGAGAAAAACATACAATAGAGAAGGTTTTTTTAATAAAAAATGTGAAATCCTGGCTCCATTGAAGTCAATGGGAGTTTTGCCATTGACTTCATGGGAGCCAAGGTTTCATCCTAAAGCTTTTGCCAAAATGTAGATCCCAATAGAGGATCTTCCAATGGCAGAAAATCCATTCCAGGGCAGACTTTGCAGAATGAAAATTGAAGTGAGAAGTGGGCAGTATTGGCCTGGAAAGTGAAGTATGACTAAGGAGCTAGAAGAAGGTATGGGAGGGTGGAGGCAGTGCATTGACTTAATGCGTCCTCACAGCAGTCTCTGCTAGCAACATAAGAACGACCATAGTGGGTCAGACCAAAGGTCCATCTAGCCCAGTATCCTGTCTTCCAACAGTGGCCAATACCAGGTGCCCCAGAGGAAATGGCAGAGCAGGTAATCATCAAGCGATCCATCGCCTGTCGCCCATTCCCAGCTTCTGGCAAACAGAGGCTAGGGACGCCATTGATGGGCCTATCCTCCATGAATTTATCTAGTTCTTTTTTTGAGTGCTGTTATAGTCTTGGCCTTCGCAACATCCTTTGGCAAGGAGTTCCACAGGTTGACTGTGCGTTATGTGAAAAAATACTTCCTTTTGTTTGTTTTAAAACAGCTGCCTATTAATTTCGTTTGGTGGCCCCTAGTTCTTGTGTTATGAGAAGGAGTGAATAAGGAAGTGTTATTTACTCCACTTTCTCCACACCAGTCATGATTTTATAGATCTCAATCATATCCCCCCTTAGTTGTCTCTTTTCCAAGATGAAAAGTCCCAGTCTCAATAATCTCTCATCATATGGCAGCTGTTCCTTACCCCTAATCATTTTTGTTGCCCTTTTCTGAATCTTTTCCAGTTCAATATATCTTTTTTTTTTTGAGATGGAGTGACCACGTCTGCACTTAGTATTCAAGATATGGGCATACCATGGATTTATATAGAAGCAATATGATATTTTCTGTCTTATTATCTGTCCTTTTCTTAATGATTCCCAACATTCTGTTCGCTTTTTTGACTGCCGCTACACATTGAGTGGATGTTTTCAGAGAACTATCTATCCACAGTGACCCCAAGATCTCTTTCTTGGGTGGTAACAGCTAATTTAGATCCCATCATTTTATATGTATAGTTGGGATTATGTTTTCCAATGTGCAGTACTTTGAATTTATCAACATTAAATTTCATCTGCCATTTTATTGCCCAGTCACCCAGTTTTGAGAGATCCTTTTGTTGCTCGTGGCAGTCTGCCTGTGACTTAACCATCTTTAGTAATTTTGTATCATCTGCAAATTTTGCTACCTCACCATTTACCCCTTTTTCCAGATTGTTAATTTATGAATATGTTAAATAGGACTGGTCCCAGTACAGACCTGTGGGGGACACCACAATTTACCTCTCTCCATTCTGAAAACTGACTATTTATTCCTATCCTTTGTTTCCTATCTTTTAACCAATCCATGAGACAACCTTCCCTCTTATCCCATGATTGATTACTTTTCTTAAGAGCCTTTGGTGAGGGACCTTGCCAAAGGCATTCTGAACATCTAAATACACTATAACCATTGGATCCCCCTTGTCCACATTCTTGTTCACACCCCCGCCACCCAAGAATTCTAGTAGATTGGTGAGGCATGATTTCCCTTTACAAAAACCATGTTGATTAGTCCCCAATAAATTATGTTAATCTATGTGTCTGACAGTTTTTTGTTCTTTACTATAGTTTCAACCAGTTTGCCCAGTACTGAAGTCAGCTTACAGGCCTGTAATTGCCAGGATCACCTCTGGAGCCCTTTTTAAAAATTGGCGTCACATTAGCTGTCCTCCAGTCATCTGGTACAGAAGCTGATTTAAGTGCTGGTTACAGGCTATGGTTAGCAGTCCTGCAATTTCACATTTGAGTTCCTTCAGAACTCTTGGGTAAATATCATCCGGTCCTGCTGACTTATTACTGTTTAGTTTATCAATTTGTTCCAAAACCTCCTCTAATGACACCTTAGCCTGGGACAGTTCCTCATATTCGCCACCTAAAAAGAATGGCTCAGGTCTGGGAATCGCCCTCACATCCTCAAACGTGAAGACCAATGCAAAGAATTAATTTAGTTTCTCTGCAATGGCCTTATCATCCTTGAGCGCTCTTTTAGCATCTTGATTGTCCAGTGGCCCCACTGGTTGTTTAGCAGGCTTCCAGCTTCTGATGTAATTAGCAAAAAAAATTTTATTAGATTTTGAGTTTTTGGCTAGCTGTTCTTCAAATTCTTTTGGGGCCGCCTTAATAGTATTTTTACACTTCATTTGCCAGAGTTTATGTTCCTTTCTATTTTCCTCACTCAGATTTAACTTCCACTTTTTAAAGGATGCCTTTTTGCCTCTCACTGCTTGTTTTACTTTGTTGTTTAGCCATGGTTGCTCTTTTTTGGGTCTCTTACTATGTTTTTTAAATTTGGGATATACATTTAAGTTGAGCCTCTATTATGGTGTATTTAAAAAATTTCCATGCAGCTTGCTGGGACTTTACTTTTGGTGCTGTACCTTTTAATTTCTGCTTAACTAACCTCCTCATTTTTGTGTAGTTCCCCTTTCTAAAATTAAATGCTCCAGCGTTGGGCCATTGTGGTGTTTTCCCCACTACAAGGATGTTAAATTTAATTATATTATGGTCACTATTACCAAGTAGTCCAGCTATATTCACCTCTGAGACCTGATCCTGTGCTCCACTTAGGACTAAATCAAGAATTGCTTCTCCTCTGGTGGGTTCCAGGACTAGCTGCCTCAAGAAGCAGTCATTTAAGGTGTCAAGAAACTTTATCTGTGCATCCCGTCCTGAGGTGATATGTACCCAGTCAATGGGGGATAGTTGAAATCCCCCATTATTATTGAGTTTTGTATTTTGATAGCCTCTCTCATCTCCCTGAGCATTTCACAGTCACTACCACCATCCTGGTCAGGTGGTCGGTAATATATGCCTGTTGCTATATTCTTATTATCCGAGCGTGGAATTACTATCCATAGAGATTCTGTGGTACAATTTGGTTCATTTAAGGTTTTTACTTCATTTGATTCTATGCTTTCTTTCACATATAGTTCCACTCCCCCACCAGCACGACCTGTTCTGCCCTTCCGATGTATTTTGTACCCTGGTATTACTGTGTCCCATTGATTATCCTCATTCCACCAAGTTTCTGTGATGCCTATTATATTAATATTCTCATTTAATACGAGGCACTCTAGTTTACCCATCCTATTTAGACTTCTAGCACTGGTATATATGCACTTTAAAAACTTGTCCCTTTTTAGCTGTAATTTAATGAGACTTTTTTCATTTGACTGTTTCTCTTCTGATCCTAACTGTATTTTATCTTCCATACTATCCTCCTTACCAGGACATAGAGAATCTCCATTAGTAGATCCTCCCCTAAAGGATGTCTCTGTCCGAACCACGTGCTCCTCCGCACCTGTTGGCTTTTCCCCAGCCTGATGGATTTTTAAAAGTGCCTTCCTCTTATGAAACCACTGAGGAAAGGGGGCACAGTGTTTTCATTGCCCTCTCCTCCATGAGTGAATCCCTCCAGGCACAGCAAGCTCTCCTCATGTAGGGTTTGAGCCTGGCCCATTAGCTTTGACCCCACAATGTTTTCAGTAGGTTCAAAATGAGACAAAAATGAGTTTGCCTACCCCGATTTGAAAGTGACATCAAATTAATTCAAAAGTGGTGTGTGTGTGTGTGTATATATAAAATTCAAAAGTTCTGTAAGAGAAAGATATCAATTGATCTTTATATAGATAGATATTAGATCGATATAGATCCTTAGATAGATTTATTAGAATGCAAGCCCAGGCTTGAATGTCATTGAATGCAAATGGTTATAGTGCTTAGTAATACTGTATAGTGATTGGCTTTCTGCAGTGTCTCAACTGCAGTAGTGGTAGTTCAGTTTTATGTGATTCTACATGTTTAAATTTACTAGTACTCTGCATGTAAGTTAACCTTTGCTTATCATTCTTGAACCCATTACTTCTAATATTTGGAAATAGGGTCCACGGGAAGCTGTTATCTGGCTTGCTGTACACCATAAGCAGAAAAAGGCTGTGGAAATCTTCTCCAGAGAGATTGCACCAGCTGGAACTGGAATGGGTAAATATTCACTCCTTTCTCTTCATATCTACCACTTATTTTGTTGTTGTCATTTATTAATATTGTGATAGAATACACAGACCCAGTTACATGTCCCATGGTGCTATGTGCTGTATGAACACAAACTTGAACATATGCTTTGCTGAAATGGGGCCTAAGACATTAACAAACTTTTTTAAATTGTTGATTTTGTTTGGAGACTCACCTTTTATTCCTCTCATGTTTCTCAGCATTTCTGCTGCTGCTTCTTTTAAAAAAAAATGTAGTAAGCAAAATTGCAATAAAATTTTAACCTAATACTTCCCACATTACTTATTCAGGATCAGGTTAATATCCAAAGAATCTGGCTAAAGATTCTAGGTTGCTGGCTGGGGAGCCCTCCTCATCTGGGTATTCATGCTTTTTCCTTTCTTATCCTTCCCTCCACTTTTTATTGCCTTTCCACATACCTATATGGCTAAATGCCATATCTTTATTCTGTTACATCACATCCTTAGAAAACTCACATGTCACTTTCACTAGAGGAATGCTATTTTTCTAGCAGAACTGGATTACATACTGCCATTTTGCTAGTGAAATAACATTCATATCTGGAGATGAGTAACTTATAGAGTGTGGAAGGCTACCTACTAAGCACTTAATACCAAGTTAGCGCACAGACTCTTGTGAATGGCTAATTACTTGTAAATTTGTTTAATTTGATTCACCATCAGTTAGAATGATATGGAATTTTTTGTAATTCAGTATTTATATTTGTTATGACAATATGCTACAGTGATGATGATGTGAATAATTCTTTACTTCATACCACAGGAAGGTTCAAACTTAGGCCCTGATACTGCAATATTATATGCATGGGCAGACTTTTGTACCCTTGCAGACTCCCAATGACTTTCAGATTGTGTCTACTGTAGTAAGCTAGCATAAAACTAATCTGCTATTAACACTTGAATGTAATGAGTTTGCAGTACATTTTATCCAGAACCTGATTCTTTACATTGGCTTCTAAGGTAATGGCAAAACGCAAGGATTTCATTACACATCAGCATTGTCAGTGTATGCTGGATATATTGGAAATAGTTTCTTAAAGATGAATTTTTACAGTAGTCATGTGAAACTTTCTTTACATACTTATAACCACAGTCAGTTGTGTGTTTAATTTCTTATGACTGGGAGTTCCAGGATGTTTGTAATGGGAACAATCTTTTCTGTCCATCTGCAATTTTATTTACTGACTTGTTATTTAATGTATTCCTACATATTAAGCGTGAGCACTGAGTTTCAAGAAATCCTGGCAGCAAGACACTGATCTATAACATTTTAGATTATATTTTTAGCATATTTTGTAACTGGTATGAAGCAGCCACCTGAACCTTTTTTGAAACTATGCAAATTTCCACTCCTAGTTATCCTCTTCTCTTAGAAAATTCTTGGTATTAATTTATAATTTTTATTGGATTCCCTTTTGACTTTAGTATACAGATCTGTGATTAATTTTTCTTATCATATGTGCTAATATTAACAAAAAGGGCCAGGCACGTCCTATCCTGTGGACTCTTTGTACCATCTGAGTGGTGCATAGTGGTTGTAAAGCTGCTCTAAAAAGGGTAGCTGAGGATTTCTCTGTGTGGGAGAATCCATGGTTGGTATAGAGCCAGAGTAGCCAGCTCTGCAGTAACTCCTTCTTGTTCCCCAGCCTTTAGGGCATGCCAGGGCATATCTGGAATGAACTATGGTTGGCATAATAGCCCCTGGCCTATGGGATTGTTACAAGTAGCTCTTCTCCTTCTCTTTCTTTTTACTTCCCCAGGGCCTCCAGCTTCTTCTCCTCCACAGACTGTGCAGTCCAGGTCTGATAGGAGGCAAGCTGCAGGGATTCTGAGTGGAGTTTGAGGCCCTGGATTCACCACCCAGGATTCACTGCCCAAGCCACAGTTTGGGTCTACATGGGGAAGTTAGACAGTAACACTTCTGAGCACTTCTACTGTCACCATAGCCTATGATTTGGGCAGTGACTCCAACACCCCAAACCCCACTCTCACTCCCTGTAGCTTGCCTTCTATCAGATCTTGACTGTGCAGTCTGCATATGGGCCACAGGGGTGGTACAGAACTCCTTGAAGCTGCTACTGAATAAGAATTGTGAATACAGAAAACCTATGCTGTGTTCGCAATTCGTATTTAGTCAGTCTCTCTCTCTCTCTCGTGTGTGTGTGTATAATATACATGCACCCATAGCTGTGTGCTTTGCATACTAACACTCTGTATACATGAATTGCCACTGACGCCAGCCAACCCCGAAGTGCTGCTTTTCAAAAGCAGCTCAAGTGAACCCTATAAATGTTACTATTTTTGTAAATGCTGGAGAGACTCCTAGCTTTAAAGTGATGCACTCTTTTTTACATAGGGCTTTATTTACTGAAAATCTACCCTCCCTTTCCCACCTGAATTTAAAAGTCAGGTAGTTCAGATTCCATTATGTAGTAACAGTGGGTGTATGTGGATTTTTTCTTTCGTATTGATACTGTTCTAGTTAGGCTGCTAATTAAAACAGAAATAAGACTAATCAGGCAGCTCATGTTAGTTAAAGAATGCAGAAACTTTTTTACTAATTAATTTAGGATTTTGCTGTTATGCTGATTTACCTGTGAGAAATAGAGCTTATCCAAAACATCTGTTGAATTTTGCAGTTACTTCCAGGTAACTTGCAATAAATCAAATTCACAGAATACATGGATCTTTAAACTTTAATTACATGAGCTGAACCCAGAACATTTCTATTTTCATGACAACTCTGGAATATTGATCCAGGTTTGTTTTTTTACTTTGCAACTGAAGAATTTAATACAATCTCAGTTTTTAGTACACTCAAAATTAGATATTTGTGCATGTGAATATACTGTACAATTTCTTGTTGCCTTTACAGTGGTGTGGAGATATGGGTAATGCAGTGTTTGTTGATATTAAAGTTGTGTTTACAGAGGCAGGGTCAGTGTGTGGTCACAGTCTGCAAATAATATATTTTTCTGCCAGTTGGAACACAGTGCAGGACTTGTAAGGAAATATTCGTATATATGATATAAAAGGTTTTACAAGTATTGGATAATTAATAGTTTGCAGATGTAGTTTGCTTCCAAAAAAAAAAAAGAGAAATAAGGTAACTTTTTATTTTTGGGGGAAAATATTGTATTTACTTTATTATTAAAGTCTTCAAACAAACAAATTTTGTAAATAAGGAATTCAGACTTGACAACTGACACAAACTCACCCTTTAGTTCCATTATTTCAAATGTTTAAATGTTTCCATTGTTTAATGGAATGAAAAGCTAAGAAATATCACTTCCAGCAATGTAACATAACTAATAGACTATATACATTGTCTCAATACCTTTCTGTCTTTTATTCATTGAATGAAGAAAGGCTGATTGGATTTTAAAATAATTTAATGTTTATAAAACCAAGTTCATGCACTTGTACTTATCTTTCCAAATTCTTAATCTGAGGCTCATCGTCTAAAGAAGCTATTGTCTAAGAAAACCCTGTTTGCAGGTTGCAGTCTTGGAGTTTTATAATGTTGCAGTTTCTTCTTTCAAATAATTCTCCAAAGAATAAAGAAGGCCAGAATGCTGAGTTGCCCAGGATAGTGAAGGGAGGGTAGAGTGTGTATATTATCAAAATCCTTGAGATTAACAGTGAGCTGTGATTGTCAGGGTGATTGGCGGGCCTCCTAACAGCTTTCATTACCAGAGCTACTGGAAAAGAAACAGGCAAAGAAATCGGATGGAAGCTTAAGCAATGTGAGTGGACCATCACTTTGTTGTTTTTTGCTTTATAAAAGAAACATTTGACCCTTTACAACATCCTGGAGAATGTATGTGTGCAGGAAATACGTTGTATTACCTGCAGAACAGCTGCTAAACCATATTTGAGAACAATGCAAATTCAGAATTTTCTTTTTTCCTCCTGCCAGGCAGAATGTGTTTTAATTACGATTAAAAAGTGTGTAAAAAGGGTGAATTTTCAAGTTATTGCATGCTGCTTATGTATGTAAAATAAAATTTTAATATAAATGTTTAGTAAAATGACCCACTCAGTCCAGTGTATGCAGAGAATGGGTTAGAATTAGTTGCTTGGTTGATCTTGAGTGCTTTATGGTACCTACAGGACTAAGGGTATCCACCGCTAAACTGTCTTAAAGCAGCAGAAACTGCTTTAGAGACTATTTAAGGCTCTATCTCTAACAAGGTTACACAAGTGTCCTCTTTCCACCCCACAGCATGTTCCTCTTTCCATCCCACAGACCACAAACGAGGTTCTCTCTACTGCTCTGAGGAGCAAAGTAAATCCTTGCTAGCACCCTGTGCAGTTAAAAAAGGTAGAGAAGTCAGCTCTGGTGACCAGTTGCTCCTCTTTCTCTTCCCTCCCCCCCCGCCCCCACCTCCACCTCCACCCACTCCAAAAAAAGGGAAGGGAAAATGTAGGTTTTTGTCCTACACAGTGGCAATTGAACCAGGGACCTTCAGAGCTAAAATTATGACCTGCTTCAGCTTTAGCTAGAATGCCAACACTTTGGGGGTGGGATAGCTCAGTGGTTTGAGCATTGGTCTGCTAAACCCAGGGTTGTGAGTTCAATCCTTGAGGGGGCCATTTAGGGATCTGGGGCAAAAATTGGGGATTGGTCCTGCTTTGCGCAGGGGGTTGGACTAGATGACTTCCTGAGGTCCCTTCCAACCCTGATATTATTCTATGATTCTAGTTGGGGGTTATAGCAACTCAGAGCCTTTGGCACAGAGGAAGACCTGTAGCACATTCACCAGTGGATCACATACTTCCTAACATTTACGGAACCAGGAAGGAGAGGTTGAATTGCAATAATCTGACCTCACCAAGATATGAACCTGCCTGGAAGCTGCTGTAGACTCTTCTGGGAACAGGTGGATGATCAGGGATTGTCTGTGATGCTGGAGTTTAAAAAAATCAAATTTTAGTCATTGGTTCTAT